GCATCAGAAAAATTGCTGTTTAGTTGGCCAGTTGTGTCCAACTCTTCTGTGATGCCATGGACTGTAGCCTGCTAAGCTCCTCTGTCCATGGGTTTTCCCAGGCAAGAATACTGGAGTAGATTGCCATTTTCTTCTCTAGGAGATCTTCCTGACCCAGGGATTGAACCTACATCTCCTGCGTTGGCAGGTGGATTCTTTACTACTGAGCCACCAGGGAAGCCCATCAGACAAGATAGGCAAAAACAAATCAGTGTGGTGACTATAAGGGTAAATATAAAGTGCTATAAGTTTCCTTCATAAACTCTGACACATATATGATATTTATTGTGTCTTATGTCTAATTAAAATCCTCCCAAGTATCCTCTTCCCCCATCAGTTCAGTTCAGTTCAGTCACTCAGTTGTGTGACTCTTTGTGATTCCATGGACTGCAGCATGCCAGGCCTTCCTGTCCATCACAAACTCCTGGAGCTTGCTCAGACTCAGGTCCATTGAGTTGGTGATGCCATCCAACCATATCATCCTCTATTGTCCCCTTCTCCTCCTGCTTTCAATCTTTCCCAGCATTAGGGTCTTTTCTAATGAGTCAGTTCTTCACGTCAGATGACCAAAGTATTGGAGCTTCAGCTTCAGTATCCGTCCTTCAGAACTGATGAATATTCAGGACTGATTTCCATTAGGATTGACTGGTTTGATCTCCTTGCAGTCTAAAGGATTCTCAAGAGTCTTCTACAACACCATAGTTCAAAAGCATCAATTCTTCGATGTTCAGTTTTCTTTATAGTTCAACTTTCACATCCATACATGACTACTGGAAAAACCATATCTTTGACTAGACAGACCTTTGGCAAAGTAACGTCTCTGCTTTTTAATATGCTGTGTGGGTTGGTCATAGCTTTTCTTACAAGGAGGAAGCATCTTTTAATTTCATGGCTGCAGTCACCATCTGCAGTGATTTTGGAGCCCAAGAAAACACAGTCTGTCATTGTTTCCCCATCTATTTGCCATGAAGCAATAGAGCCAGATGCCACGATCTGTTTTCTAAATGTTGAGTTTTAAGCCAACTTTTTCACTCTCCTCTTTCACTTTCATCAAAAGGCTCTTTAGTTCTTCTTCACTTTCTGCTGTAAGAGTGGTGTCATCTGCATATCTGAGGTTACTGATATTTCTCCCAGCAATCTTGATTCCAGCTTGTGCTTCACCCAGCCTGGTATTTCGCATGATGTACTCTGCATATAAGTGAAATAAGCAGGGTGACAATACACAGCCTTGACATACTCCTTTCCTGATTTGGAACCAGTCTGTTGTTCCATGTCCAGTTCTAACTGTTGCTTCTTGACCTGCATACAGATTTCTCAGGAGGCAGGTAAGGTGGTCTGATATTCCTGTCTCTTGAAGAATTTTCCCCCATACACTATATCAAAATCTTAGACTGGCTTGCCAAATGCTTGACCACTGGTCCCACCAGTACTACCAAGTGCCATCTCCTCCATCACTCAGCATATTCTTTGGACCAAGGATGCTAAGTTAAGGAGATGCCCAAAGACAGCTTCCACTGAACCATGTGCTGAGTGAACTGGCATACTCCACTCTCTCTTTGAGATACTTTGACTCACATATTGGAACTTGGGTGCTGGCAGGCCCAACAAGTAAGATATAAACTCACCCAAGTCAGTTGTGTTCCCAAGCTCGTTTAGGCCTGTTGGACTTTATACTGTAATTGCAGGATGCAAGCTGGGGAAATGTAAGTATGCATGGAAAGACGGCTGTTGATCCTGGAGAACTACTTCAAATGGTTTGAAAAGACTCACTGAAGTCATGTTGAAAGATTATTGCTAGCAAACAGGGTAGGAAAAGTGATGGTAAAAGACTGGAGTGAAAAAAAAAAAAAGACTGGAGTGGAGAGACTCCTTAAAAACCTATGCATCTACACTTAGTATCTTGGAAAGTGTTTGAAAATCTTTTTCCATTTTAAAGAAAGCAAAACTAGAAGGAGTAGATGAGGTGCTACTGGCATGTGTCACTTAAGAAATGTGGAACTACAATCAATGACCCAGAGGAATAGCCTTGGCCTTGTAATGAAAAGGGATGAATGGGCATGCACTCATATGTTTTAAATAAGATGTTCAAGGTAGCTATGTATTATTTTTCATGAAAGCGTCCTGTGTCTAACTTACAGAAGTAACTGCCAACACCCTGCTCTTCCCAACTGAGACAGATAAGAAGACAGCGTCTCCTGTATTTGTAACTCTCTAGATGGTTCAGGGGCTGCCTCAGCTCCATCACTGTTGAACAAGCTGTTCCGCTGCTGGGAAATGCCCTCTTTCTGCTCCAGGTTCTGTTAGCTGATGCTTTCCTACTTTGCGCTGACTTCACGCTACTTCTTGGTTGTTGCTGTTCAGTGGCTCATTTGTGTCTGATTCTTTGTGACCCCATGGACTGCAGCATGTCAGATGTCCCTGTCCTTTGCCATCTCCCAGAGTTTGCTCAAACTCATGTCCATTGAGTCCATGATACCATCCATCCATCTCAACTTCTGTTGCCCCCTTCTCCTCTTACCTTCAATCTTTCCCAGCATCAGGGTCTTTTCCACTGAGTTGGCTCTTAGTGGTCAAAGTATTGGAACTTCAGCTTCAGCATCAGTCCTTCCAATTAATATTCAGGGTTGATTTCCTTTAGGATTGATTCCTTTTCTGCTTAGCCAGAGTTAGCTTCTATAGCTTAAAACTAAGCTTCATGATTTATATTTTGACTCATTGCTCTGGTATAACATTGTTGCTCTGAGTCTTTGTCCCTGTGTGATTATGAGCTGGAAATATCCCATCTTATCTCTGTAACCCCAGAATTCAGCCTAGGGCAAAGTAATGCAGAGCAGATCCTCAACAAACTGCTAATTCGTTAATTTACAAATGAATGACTTAACTGATGAAAAAAAGTTTCCTATGAAAACCCCAGGTCATAAAAAGACAGCAAATGACTCTGATATGTCTCCAGTGGCTGAGGAGAAGTGTGGCCCATTCTAGTTAGCCTTCTATTCCTATTTCAAGAAGACAAGGGCAGTCACAGAGAGTTCTGTAGCATTTAATTAAATATATGATTGTAACACACATTGGATATATGTAATATACTTAGCAGCTCTGCAGAATGTTTGTAATGCATGTGGAAAGTACACAGTCAAATCAGAGACTTTCAGTGTAGTGAACAATGGATATGTTAAAGAATACCTTCAAAGAAAAACCACTGGACTGGCAGAAATGCCATCCGATCTGCATCATTCTAGCTGTCTGATCTCATATGCTCACCATCTTCCTGGCCAATTCCAAGTCTTGTAGTCTCTCTCGAAACAGTCCATGCCTGACTTTTCTGAAGCCAATTCCCCTGAAAATCAAATGAAGGTAAAATGTCTGTCGAATAAGCCAAGGTTTCCTAGCTTCAGATATGGTTGTTTAATTGACCAATTTTGCTGCCTAATTATCAATTTTCATTTCATGCTATAATAACAAACAGTTTGCATCTCTGGTTTATACACTGTCTCTGACCAGGAGTTTTTCTGTTTTAATGAAATCCCAAAGGGGGTCGGTCAGAACAAACTTGTCATCTTACATTATACACAGTCCCTGAGTACATAATCAAGCATTAGCAGCAGTTATGATTATAAGAGTATGATACATAGATTTTACACATCTCTGGTAACAGATAGACATTCACACACTGAATTCAAATGATAATCTACTTCAAACAACATTAAAACAGATTTTAAAGCTGGAGGGAACTTGATCTTCCTTGAGACCTATCCCTTTCCTTCTTTGAGAGATGATTTATTTACATGAGGGATACAGAGTTACACCTTCCAGTCCTGAGTTGACATGTAAGGTTGAGTAACTTACCTGTCCTGTCCATGTCCCAGTTTTCACATAAGGCAAAGATAATGATAATAAGTAAATAGGACCTCTGTGACTAAGGTGCAAGAGGCTTGTGAGGTTTCCTGTGATAACCTGTTCCTTGAGACTTGGTTCACATTTCTACAGAAGGTAAAGACCCCACGTCCACCTGTTGGCAAATGTCTCCTGCTCACATGCCAGGCAGATTCTGCTTTTCCTCCACACAGATGAGCACCCCTTTTTGTGGCATTTTCCCTGACTGTCTTCCAACAGGGCACTTTAAACATGTCTCCATTATAGCATTTTGTGTTATTATAACCACTCATTTTGAAAGCTACCTTTTATTAGATATTTAAGGGCAGGGCCCCAATCTTGTTTGTCTTAGACCTCCAAGACTACCACTGTGGCTGGCACAGAGCAAGATTTCCATAAATACATACCAAGAAAACTAAATGGATAATGCTATGGAAGTGCTTTGAAAAATCACAAAAGCACTGAGCAAATCTAAGGGATTATGGGACTATAGTCATGACTACTGATTCAGAGAAAAGGCCTTGGAAGGCACAACTCTGCACTGATCTGATTATCATTAGGCATCTAAGCCAAAGATAAGGTCTATCAGTCCACTATTTAAAACTCCCTTCAGAGATATCACAAAATAAAACCAACACGAAAATTAAAAAAAATAAAAAACTTAGTCTCCTACCCAAACAAACTAAAAACAGAACAAAGAAAAAATGCAAAATGTAAACAACAACAACAAGAACAACAAGGACCAACTCCTAAAGAACAACATTGATCTTAGACCGGTGTCCTTCTTGGTCTATGTACACCCAGAGTCAGGGTAGTGTTGGGGGTGGTCTGGGGATCTGTGGAAAGGGATCAACTGCACTCCCCTGAGCTGAGAGTGCTATGCTGTCTTGACTTGGCTTGAGACTAATTGTTTATCTGGACCAAGAAATGCAAGAAGACACACATCATATATTCTCTAAACCTTCAAGAACATGGCCACAATTGGCTCACGTGCAACATGGGCTTGTAATTCCTTCTCCCTGAAGTTTTTGGCAGCATTCATACTTGTAGAAATTGGGGACAGCAGATGTATTTGGGTTGGGGAGTCTCTACACACAGAGGAGAGTTTGCTTTGGCTCGTTGCTCGAATAGATCAGTGTCCAGAGTCGGTAAGAGGTTCTTCCATTATCAAGGGAGGTCATTGGGTGGCAGGAGCAAGAGGGTCCTAACAGTAAGTAACAATAGAAATTCTGGGCTTCTAGTTGATTCTCCTTTAAGCACTTGTTAAGAAAAATGGAATAAAATGGGCTTTGTAGCTTTTTGTAGACATGGCTGGTTGTGGTGCTTTTATACATCATGAGACCATTCCTCCCCACCATCTTCCTTGTAGTTCTTTTAGTTCCACTGAACATAGATCCCCATTTTCCTGGGACATTTCAGTTTACAGTTATTGTCCTGGAGTGCTAACTTATAACTTTCCTTTTCATCTGCAAAAGTGACCCAGTTTAGACAATGCATAATACCAGGGGTCCCCAACCTCCATAATCTAATGTCTAAAGTGGAGCTGATGTGATCATAACAAAAATAAAGTGTAAAATGAATGCAATGCACTTGAACCATCCTGAAACCATTCCCACCCCTACCGCATCATCCTTGGAAAAATTGTCTTCCATGAATCTGGTTTCTGGTGCCAAAAAGGTTGGAGACAACTACATTATAGAGTGACCAGGATCTAGGTGAAGTTTGGCACTGGAGAGTAGGACAGTCCCTGACTGAGGAAGGCATGTGACTTGGAAGAGACTCCAGCTAGACTCCTGGGCAGCAAAACTTGATTCTACCTCTTGCTGGGTGGGGAACATGGACAGATTAATTTAAACCACAGTTTCATCATCTGTGACATGGGGAATAATGCCAGTTGAGCCCACCTCCCAGGATTACTGTGAGGATGCAGCGAGACAAGACGTGCAGAGCACGCAGCACAACGCTGTGTACATAGTGAGTCCTGGTCATGGTATCCAACGCCCTTTTCTCCTTTCCCTCTTTCTTCCCTTGCTCCCTTTATGTCCTCCCCAGCCCTCTGTCATTTCCTCCACCCTTCCTTTCCCTCTTTCCCTTTTTTCCTTTCTGAAATAAATGATCATGGCATTGCCTGAAACAGAATGCCCCTGTCTCCTGCCTCCTGCCCCAGAAGTGCTGCTTCAGAATCCTTGACCATGCAGAAGGACCACGTTCAATTTGTTTGTTTGTGCTGTGGGGGAGAGTAGGACTCAGTCATCTTCATTCACCATGATGGTTCTGATCTTGGGTTTCTTACAACTCACTGGTTTTGGTAGAAGCTGGACATGGTGACATAGGCTTCTTCTTGACTTGATCCCAAGGAAGTGAGGATGGGCTGCCCCGGGGCAACAGGGTTCAATGTCAGGATTCCGGGTTGGAATGGAAACGGAGGGCGCAGGGAGCTGTTTGTAGTTCCAGGTCCAAGCAGCAGGTCCTGGTACACTAGAGGTCTGCTCTTGCCACCTTCCCTGCCATTAGGAGACCTGGAGGAGGGGAGCCCAGGGGCGTCACACACACTGGCATTCCCAGCCAGGCATCTGAATGGTGACTCTCCTCTGAAAACTTTAGGGGTAATGCCTGCTTGCTCGGAAGGCCAGCTGGGACCCTGCATCCCGCCTCTGAGCCTCTGCTTCTCACTCTCCTCTAGCTGCGGAGAAAAAGGGTCTTGCAGGAAGCCTTCTGCTTCATCTCTAGCTTGAATGCCATCCACCTTATGAATCTGGCAGTCCAGGAAACTTTCAGGATTGAAACTCACATTCAAATTCTGCATCAAAAAAGAGGGAAGACATTAAGACTGCACCAGACAGACACATCACCAAATGATCTGTTCAGGAAAAGAGCTAAAGAACTTTCTGACAAGGGTTTATAGGGAATGTCAGAGAATTACCCACGTTCTAGCTGACTCTTTGCCTCTGAAGGTGCTGTGACATTTCAGCGTCTAAAGTGACCACTTGCCATGACCTCCATCCCTGGGGGTAGCCCAGGAAATTCTGAGACTTGTATTGCATTTTAGCTTCCTACTTCCAGAAACCTGCTGCTGGCATCATCTGAGGGACCCTAGTTATGTGATGCACAAAAGACCAGCACTTGAGGTTCATCCTGTCTGCATTCTACAGTGTCATTCTTGGCAATTGGGATGCCTTTGACAGAATGACAGAAGTATCAGAAGCACTCACTTTTTTTGGTTTCTTGCACAGTTGTTCCAGAGTCTTCTTATGATCAGGGAGACTGGGCCATATGATAGGCTTAATTCTGAAATAAGAGGACATTGTCGATGAGATGAAGGAGTAAGGAGCAGACACATAGATCTTCCCACTTATTCTGAGCTAGCAGTCAGAAGAGCAGATTTTTTTCCCTTGGCTCTGCCACACTATGTGGATGACCTTGGACAAGTGACCTGCTTTCTCTGGGCCTCAGTGTCCCATTGGTCCATGGAGAGGTTGGACCAGAGACCGTGGTCAGTGATCTATTCTGTGAACAAGACAACAATGAAATACCCCTGGGAAGGAGCCCCAGAGAAAAGGGACAATGAGGCTTGGCAATGGTGTAGCAATGAAAGTAAAATATGATCTGCTCATCTACTTCTCAGAATAGGCATTGTCATTTTACTCTTCTTTTCACTGGAAGCAACTCCTCTGTGCTGATTTTGGTGGAAGAGAGACATATTTTCTAAGTTGCTCAGGGAAATTGCTTTAGGTTGGTACTTTCCAAACTGAAGTATCTTGGGGATGTGTGGCACTTTGAGGACATCTTGCTAAAACATTAATAACCTGACGGGTCATGTCTAAATGATGAAATAAGCATGGCCTTCTCATGGGGCAGAAGGTAAAAGGGCCTTGAGTTTGTGTGCTGAAGACTTCAAAAACATCTGCATTTCCCAGGGTGCCTTCACTTGCAGAAGCTTTCTGGAGGGATGGCTGTTAGTCTCTTAGGACACTTTAGTGGAAAGGTTTGAGGGGAGGGCTTGCCTTGTGTTCAGTTTATATATTTTTACCTCTTGTGAAATTAACTATGGAAATTCATCAGTGCCTGAGGATGAGGATGGGCACTGTAATTCCTGAAATACCTTATTTCTCTTTGTAGTTTTCTTATCCATAAATAGGATTAGAGTTCTGTCTGGAATCGCAAATAACCGTAACCACTCTCTTGATTAGTAAACGAAATTCACCTTTTTTTCCATAACACACAGGCCAGAGTGACCATCAGAGCCACAGAGAAGAAGCTCAGAATGCTGATAGTTAGTAACACAGGATCCGTCTCCCCTGGAAGGCAAGGACAGATCTTGGTTACTAGTCGTTAAGCATGTGATGGGGGAGACTTTCAGAATGCTTTGAGTTTATTGAATAACTTGAGTACATTTAATATTTCTTGAAAGTTTGCTTTTCAGTAAAGAGGATGATGTACTAGCTTTTATGGGGGAATTTTAGCTTCAGTAAGTGGTACTGTTGTCGAAACTCAGCCTCTGTTTACTGGTCCTGAATAGAAACATGGAGACAGTGTTTTGGGTGAATTACAAAAGATAGATTTTATTGTTTTCCCAGGCAAAGAGGGTCACAGTGGGCTAATGCCCTCAAGACTATGTGACGTGCCTTGGATGGGGGAATGAGAAGTCTTATAGTATTCAAAGAGCAGAGCATGATCAACTTGTGGACATTCTTCTGATTGGTTGGTGATGAGGTAATGGGGAGTCAGCATTACCAGCCTTCTGGTTCCAATCAGTCTAAGATCTATGTTCTGGAGTTTGGCAGTTTTCGTCTGGTGGAGGTCTGTTTCCTGTTAAAAACAACTTGGGAATGTGTATCAGGTCTTTATCTGCATCTTTCAGGAAACTGTGAGACGCTAATTCTGCTGGGGGCGGATTTGTAACCTAAACTGTTTCCAGTTCACCAGTCAGTGGCTTCCCAGGTGGCTCAGTGGTAAAGAATCTGCCTGCCAATGCAGAAAACATGGGTTCAATCCCTGGGTTGGGAGGATTCCCTGAGGAGGAAATGGCTGCCCACTCTAGTATTCCTGACTGGAAAATCCTATGGACAGAGGAGCCTGGCAGGCTACAGTCCATAGGTTCACAAAGAGTGGGACACGACTGAGCATTCATGCACATCCCAGCCCCACAGCTATTTTATGTTTATACATCTTTGCATGTGCCAGTTGTTAACTCTTAAGTCAGCTTTTTACTTCAAAAGACAAGGATACAGGGGCTTGTACACAGTTTCAGCACTGACTTAGGTGACTAGGTCCAGAACACCTGTTACCTGAAATTTAAAAGGGGCTCAGCATTAAAGATAGCAGCACCCCCTGCCTGACTCCCGCCACCACGAGAAAGAAGCTACAGGCAAGGCATAATGAGGGGATGCTCTTCCCTACAGTGGCCTCAGCAATTCCCAGGGTGACGAGAGGAGGCTGGTACAGCAGAGTGGTTCTGCTCATCCCCTAAATGGAAGGTATATGGGGGAGTGTTTTGGGTTCCCAGTGGTCTGCCTGAGCTGTGTTTCTTTGGTTCTTCTGGATGTTCTCAGATTCTTAGACCCCTGGGATATCTTCATTCTTCCAGAAAAGGAGGGATGGGAAAACCACATCAGCCTACCCATCTGCCATCTGCAAAGGTATTCCCTAGAAGGGCCTTAGAGAAATGGAGCGTCGGGATCCCAGTCTGAACTGGTAAAACTAGAGGCATTGGTGGTGTTTTTGTTTAGAACAAGAGGCTCCCAGGAGCTCCTAGGACAGTCAAGTCCTGACAGCCTGTGTCAGCCAAACAGCTACTAACAGTCCTACTCTCACTCTGTCTACATTCCTCACAAAGGGGCAAAGATGGAGGGTCATTTTTCAAAGGACGTGTAAGAATACCCTCTGGGAGCCCTAACTTGCGGGTTCGCTTCGTGTTTCTGCCTCTCACTGTCACTCACACGCTTTGACAGATAAAGCACCAGCGGGAACAAGTTCTAGTCACTTCTCACCTGTGCCATTGGTCTCCGGAGTTCTGAAGTGGAAACTTGGACTCCATTCACTCCAGAAGCCTTCAAAGTAGTTGGCGTAAGGGATGGACCGAACTTTAATCTCATACATGGCACTGGGTTGTAGTTTTCTCTGTAGGAGTGTCAGCCTGGTGCTAGTTAAATTCACACGCTGAGGAGCAAAAAAAGGCACTGCATTTTTAAGGTGGAAAAAGAGGCGCTAGCCATGATTCCCAAATCATCTCGAGCCGAGCGCCTTTGGTCATGTGGGCGCTCTCTTGAGGCTGTCTCACATTAGTTAGGCAAAGGGGCTCTGGAGTGGTGGTGTCAGCAGCGGAACTGGGGCAGAGCGAGCGTGTGAGCTCACCAACGATGCCGCCGGTGGTCAAGGAGGGCCGTGAGGCAATGGGTCTCTATCTTGACTCAGGTGAGCTGGGCTCTTCCACTCGGGCACCAGTCACTCCCAGGTTCCCACCTTACTTTCTACACTCCAGTATCTTCTTTTTCTTTCTCTCCCTTTTCACATCCCAAGGAGAGATGAAAGGGAATGGTAAGATTAGTGAGCAAGAATCATTTTCCTCTGGAGACATGTCATTTTTCATCATGAAAAACAATACAGAGACACAGTCTTTCCAACACCGCCTATCATCCTTAAGAGGAAAAAGTGCTCTATCAATTTGATGGGGACAAAGTAATACCCATTGTTATTTACATTTGTATTTATCGGATTGTTAGTTTTATTATACTGATTTAAATTGTATATTCCCTATTTCGTGAGACATTTCCAACTTCCTTACTAGTTTTTCTATCACCTTATTTGTCCTTTTCTTAATATTTTATAAGATATCTTTATATTTTAAGAATATTAACCATCTGTCAGTTGTATGTGTGGTAATTTAAGCCTAATTTCTAACTTGCTTTACGATTTTGATTATTGCAGGTGCTGACATTTATAAACATCTATTTTTATGTAGTTACATGTTTCCAGGTTGTGCTTTCTTTTACTGTTTTTATGCTTAGAATGTTCTTCTTCATCTTAGGATTATATAAACATTTATCTGTAAATTTTTTAGCTTGTTTGGGGTTTCACTTTTACATAATTTCTTTAAATCATCTTCTATTTTAATTTTTTTGTTATATGGGGCAAATTAAGCATTAAACTTAATTTTTCCCAGTTAACTGATTGTCCTGGTACCATTTATTCAAAATTATTCTTTTCTCTGCTTTCCCACTGATGCAATTTTCAGATAAACCCCAGAAGAGGATGGGCTCAAGGGCACCTACTAGTTTGTGTGTGTATGTGTCAGTGGAGATAGAAGGAGGTCTGGGGTGGGCATTACACCTATGTAAGTAGTTTATAGCAGCAAATTGCAAACACAAAAGACTGATTGTGGCCTGAGAAAAGAAAATAGTATGGATAAGTAGGATCTCTTTCCCCCTGAGAAAGCAGCTGTCATTTGTCTTCTGTTAGTGTGGTACAAAAAGGATGAAAGTTAAGCCAGTGACTTCAGAGGAACCCAAAGCCCTGAGACCTAATTCTCTTCCATTTTCTCCTCAATACAGATTGTGGAGCCAGTCAGACCATTCCAACTGCAGCGACTCATGGAGTCTAAATGACCATCCAGCTTATAAGGATGAAAATTAAGCTGTTACTTCAAAGACTTAAGAACTCAGCCTTGAGAAAAATTGAAGGACATATTGCATCTCCTCTCCTATTTACTTCAGGCTGTTTCCACAACTCCATCAAACCAGATCTTGGCTACAACTTGGTGACTTTTCTTTCTGTCTTTTATTTTGCCTGGTTTGCCTGTGAGAGTTGTGCTAAATGTGATTCTTTTTCAGGCTCCCAGATAGAGAGGATGAATTTGGTCTCAATCTATAATGGTTAATATATGTCATTAAGAAACATTATAAAGACAAAAAATAGGGCAAGGAAAAAAATGAGAGCTAGGACAAGAATGTGCCAGAGAAGATCCAGGTTTTGTGAAGCCTAAACCTTTTACACTTTGGGGAGATTTTTTAAATAAAAGGCTCATTTCAAGCATAAAATTTCTAGGGACATTTCTCAGGTAAATATACCTCTGAGATTATAAAATACATAGCATTAAGAAGTTTCCATTTTATAGTTTTATATATTTTATAGTTTTTATATACTTCAATCTATACATATAACTTACTTATTAAGATACTTTTATACACATCTGCATAAATTTTACAATGCATAAATATAGTTGGCCTACATACCATCCAATTATTTTCTTTTTTTTCCTGACGGTAGGCTACTTCATGTATTAATACTTTCACATACTTCTTCTGCAAGTGTGATGTATTAAATGTCACCACAAAGTCATTTGCTCCCTCACGATAGACAACTCTGACGTCAAAAGGAGCCTCAGGTTTAACTGGAAAGGAAAAAGAAATGAGGTCATTCTATAGGGTGATCAAGGAAACAATTATAATTTTTAAAGTTCATCTACTCTGAAAATCACATTCCTTTCTTGGATCAGTAAAAAGCGTTTCTTATTCTTCCTGGTTCAAAGCATGACTCCCTGGCAGTTGGGAGTCCTGGGTGTGGTCTTGTGAAGGATGTGGGTGGGAGTGACGTGTGCCATCTCCCATCCTGACCCAGAGCCCCGACACGCATGACTACCTGCTGAACCCCCTCCCGCTACTTGGCGTCATAGGTGGAAGAGGGTGGAGAGCCGTAGGATGAAGGAATCCTGAATGTTGCTTGGAGGAGCACCTCCCACAGGTTAGAAACACCCATTTTGGCTCTCACATCAGCAAGAAACAAACTCATGGTATTGGAGAAATCTGTTTTAGGGCTTATTAGTTACAGTTGCTGGTACTGATTTTACACAAAAACACATTCTCTTCTCCTTTTGAGTACTAGAGAACTTGTAACCAACTACCCCAAAGCAGGAGTATTTGAACTTTGAGTATTCACTATTCCAATAAAACTGGGGCCTTATACATTGTTCCAATAAAACTGGGGGCCTAATCTCAGCTCCATGGAAGCTGGGTGTTTGCACCCCAGCTCTGGCTCATAACTTTCAGTGTGACTGCAGGCTGTCCACTCCTTCAGTCTTGTTTGCATTAGCTCTAAGCTCCTCTCTGGCTTCTTCCTCCTGCATACCTGCCTAGGATCACAGGCATTAGATATGAAATGCTGTTGGAGGAAGAGGTAATATTTCAGGTTGAACAAATTCTGAGAAAGGTACTGAAATCCTAGCAGTCCATGTGTGTCAGGCTACCTCCCACCCTTGACTTGGGGCTTCCCTGCCTTTTGACCTCTTTGCTGGTCTTTCACTAATGCCTGGGAAGTTAGTTGTCTAGGGATGGGACAGCTACTTGTTTCCATGGCTGATTTCAGACAGAGCTTGGGGGTTGCATAGGTTAAAATCTAACCTAAAGCTATTGTTCATGAGAGAATGTGTGTTCATCAAAATTTCACTCAGTAGATTGAGCTGGATTTCAGGCTATGTGAGCTGGGCTTTAAGATTGACTTACTGACCCATTAAATGAGCTCACATGTTGAAGTTTAACCCCCTTGTCATAATCACTTGCTTGTAGTGGTGGTTGCCTAACTTTTTCCATCCTTGATTCCCCTAGAGGTACTGAAAAAGAGGAAGTGGTTCTGTCTTTACCCTTGGATATCTTGTGCAAGGGGAAGTTTACCCTTTCTTACCCTCAGAGGTACTATAAAAAGGCAAGATACCCCCAAGGGAAGCAGGAGGAGAGGTCGTGGGTGTAGAGAAACAGACCAACAGAGAAGACTGTCAACCCTCTGACACCAGCCAAGCCAGTTCCTTCTTGCCATTCAAGACAGCGATTAAGACTCACATTCTCAACAAAACCTCTGATACTGAATTCCTTGCCTCATTCCTATCTCCCAAGGCCTCTCAGTAATGGGAGAATTGAGGGAAGAACAGACCAATGTTGATTATGCACATACTCAGTGTCAAATTTACTTATACCATCTTGAGTCAATGATCACTAAAAATAGAGCTATCATATGAGCCAGCAATCCCACTCCTGGGTGTACATCCAGAGAAAAGCATGGTTTGAAAGGATACATACACCCCAGTGTTCATTGCAGCACTGTTTACAATAGCCAAGACATGGAAGCAATCTAAATGTCCATTGACAAATTAATGGATAAAGATGTGATACATATATACAATGGAATATTACTCAGCCATTAAAAAGAGTGAAATAATGCCATTTGCAGCAACACAGATGGACCTGGAGATGATCATACTAAACGAAGGAAGTCAGAGAAAGTCAAATACGTGATAGCACTTATATGTGGAATCTAAAAAAAATGGATACAAATGAACTTGCTCTCCTTCATTTAGTTTTCATTTCTGTGCCTCACTCTCTTCTACTGGCTTCCTCAGGCTCTCCCACACAGGTATGCTTCTAGCTTCAAAGATGCATCTGAGCAAATTAGAAAAAGGTGTTCATCCCTCAAGCAACATTAAAAAAACTTTATTTATTCTTGACACAACCTGAACTATGATATCAGTTTACCTTGACAAGAAAAGGGGAGAAATAGAAAACTGCCCCTCCAGACTTTACTGGGGGCTCACACTCCCCACCTGCCCTGTTACTTATACTCCCTTCTGGGGAGCTGGGCTCTGGGGAGTAATCAGAAGCATCCAATTTCAGTTTAGTTAAATGACAGTTTTAGTAATGAGATGTCACATTAGGAACCAGAAGAAGATGCTACTGGGAGACATGTCTTCACCACCACTCATCCTTGCCTAGCTGTGCTTTCTGAAACCCCGAGGTGCTCATACCACCCCTTCACAGATCCATGCTACCAATGGGGTGCACACCCTGTCTCTCCCCTGGCCCCTCAGAGGAGGCAACAGAGCAGGTTTGCTGTTTGCTGGGTAGTACGGAATGTGAGCTTCTAAAAACACTGGGTATATGAAATTTGGGGGCTTCCCAGGGTACAGGTTGCCACCAGGAGCCTGGGAGTGCGCCCTCAGTGTTCACAGGCTCTAGCTCTAAGAGACCTGTGAGTCCTGTGAACTGGGTGAGTTTCTGTAGGAAGGGGATCTCCTCTGGGGTTCCAGGACTCTGGCACAGGACAGAGTCTCTGCCCTCTCTGCCTGCTCTCCGGGACTGAACATGGATTTGCAGTGTAAATGGTGAACTTTTAGATATAGTGCCCTGTGCACAAACCGAACATCCATCCATAGAGGCCGAGCCCCCAAATGATCAAAAGGCATCTTGCTTGTGTCCTGTACTCAGAGACACCCAGTCGTGCCACACACCCGAGGCATTCACACTGGTTGTGTCTATAGCCTCTTTTCTACTCTACCTCTGCTTCTTCACAAGATGCTTGTTCACACATGAAGCGTCTGTGTTTACTCTTTACCGTCTTTCATCTTAGTGGTACAAAGCTGAGAACTAGGCTCTAAGTTTCTCTTTGTTGTCTCTAATGAGTATTATTCTCTTACCTTCAATTTTCTTTTAGAAGGGTGAAGGGAGGGATTGCAAATAGGGAGAGAGAGAGCCATAGTATTTAAAGCCAGCCAAAAAAAAAAAAATGCACCATTCAATCACTTTGAATAGTTTCCCCCCTACCTGTGTTGTTTCACTTGTCAATCTAAATAGGCAGAATGAATACAAGAAGTTAGGGTTCCATTGCACCAACATATCAAAACTGGCTGAGACATTTCCCCTCCACCAGGGTATCTCTGAGGTTTTGAAGAAGAACATTAGTCACCTCAGTGTCATAAATCTGTAAGTAATGGGAAAAAAACTTTTTGTGTCTATATCCCCAATCTATCAGATTGATTTATTTGTTTGGTAACTGCATGGTGAATTGGTAATTAATACTGACATAACAGGGCTTCCAGGTGGTTTTGTGGTAAAGAGTCTGCCTGCCAATGAAGTAGGCATGAGTACGATCTGTAGGTCAGGAAGATCCCCTGGAGAAGGAAATGGCACCCTGTCCATGGGATTTCCCTGGCAATAATACTAGAGTGGGCCGCCACTTCCTTCTCTGGGGAATCTTCCCCGATCCAGGAATTGAACCCCTGTCTCCTGCTTGGCAGGTGGATTCTTTACCACGTGCCACCTTGGAAGCCCCGTTAAAGACATAACTAACATTTAAATCATTAGACTGAGTAAAATCGATTACTCTCTAACATCTGGTAGCCCTTATTTAATCAGATGAAGGCTTTAAAGGCAAAGACTGAGATTCCCTGAAGAAGAAGCAATTCTGTCCTAAGAATGTAATATAGAATCACTGCTTGAGTTTCAGGGCTGCCTGGTCTGCCCTCTGGAATTTTGACTCTTTCCTACCCTCTGGAATATCCACTCTTGCCTGAATTTTTAGCCTTCTTGGTCACCCTATAGGCTTTAGACCTTCCAGCTCCTACAATCATGATGGTTGATTCCTTAAAATAAATTTCTTTTTCTCATCTCTCTTCTCTCTCTATCTATCCTGTTGTTTCAGTTTCCTCTGGAGAAAGCTAATACGAAGGCATATTTATATGTATGGCTGTATCCCTTCACTGTTCACCAGAAACTATCACAACATTGTTAATCAGCAATACTCCAATGAAAAATAAAACGTTTTTTTTTAAAGGTACATTTACTTAAAAAAAAAACTTGGTAATTTAGTTAAACACATTCAGAATATAGTAGGCTTATGGGAGAAGATTACAAGGAATTCAGGAAAAGATAATGTGAGGTAGAAAAGGATGTGAGTAGGTAAAATACTGGAGGCCCAGTTCCAGCTAGACACTTCAAACAGATGAACGCTTCCTGCAGGCTGTAAGTGCCAGTCACCCTCTTTCACAGCTGAATTTGAAGACCCTCAGAGTTCTCTCACAGTAAGAATTAGTAACATCAGCTTCAAACTTTCATTTCTCTTAAAAATTTATTTGCCTTAGAGAATTTGATCTTTTCTATTGTAAAGTTTTCATGATTTGTCCACTTTTAATACCTCAAAACTTTAGACACTATCTGTCTTCCAATATCAGAAAAATGACAACATATCCCCATATACAACTTCTTACCTATCTTGACTATGTTCATTTTTCTGCAAGTCATGTTCTTTTTTTCAAGCTTCACGCATATTTTACTGTCTCCAATCAGTAAGAATTTCTTTGTCTTGAGGAAATACCTCTCTTGCAGTTTATTAAAATTCAGGCAATCTACATCCAAAAGTGCCCCACTGTAAAAAAAAAAAAAAAGGAATTTGTCTTAATTCAAGTATTATTGTATAGAGTGGAATAGCATCATATCTACATTTCAGTTGTGTGGCTTTAAATTTGTCCATAGAGTAGATCCACATTCGAGAGTTCAGCTCCATTCAGTTCAGTCACTCAGTCGTGCCCAACTCTTTGTGACCCCATGTGCTGCAGCATGCCAGTCCTTCCTGTCCATCACCAACTCCCGGAGTTTACTCAAACTCATGTCCATTGAGTCGATGATGCCATTCAACCCCCTCATCCTCTGTCATCCCCTTCTCTTCCTGCCTTCAATCTTTCCCAGCATCCGGGTCTTTTCAAATGAGTCAGTTCTTCACATCAGATGGCCAAAGTATTGGAGTTTCAGCTTTAGCATCAGTCCTTCCAATGAATATTCAGGACTGATTTCCTTTCGGATGGACTGGTTGGATCTCCTTGCAGTCCAAGGGACTCTCAAGAGTCTTCTCCAACACCACAGTTCAAAAGCATCAATTCCTCTGTGCTCAGCTTTCTTTATAGTCCAACTCTCGCAGCCATACATGACTACTGGAAAAACCATAGTTTTGACTAGATAGACCTATGTTGGCAAAATAATGTCTCTGCTTTTTAATATGTTGCTTGAGAGAGAGAAAATTAAAGTAAAATAGCTTTTTGCTGCCATCCTAATGTGCTGATTTACTCAAGCTCTAGATGTAAGTGAACCTGAAATAGTCAAACACGTACATGAAAATAATGAAATATTCTTAACTTTTAGACTTGATTACTAGAAGATAAATACTTTGTTTAGGTGGGAGGCTAATTTCTTTCTTTTTATTTTTTGATGTTCTGCAGAAATATATTGAAAAAGAAAAAGCCTGTAAATAAATATTGACAAATAAGTTTAAATTAATCTAAAGGATTATATACAAAAAATTATATACACTACAGGTATTTCCCTGATGGTCCAGTGGTTAAGAGTTTCTTCCAATGCCGGGGATGCAGATTCAGTCCCTGTTTGAGGAACTAGTAATAGGCTCCCACATGCCTTGGGGCAGCTGGATCCATGTGCCAAAACTACTGAGGCTGCACATCACAGCTAAGACCCAGCACAGTCATAAAATAAAATATGTGTGTGTGTAAATCGCTCAGTCATGTCCAACACTTTGCAACCCCATAGACTGTAGCCCGCCAGGCTCCTCTGTCCATGGGATTCTCCAGGCAAGAATACTGGAGTATGTTGTCATTTCCTCCTCCAGGGAATCTTCTCAACCCAGGGATTGAACCCAAGTCTCCCACATTGCAGGCAGAATCTTTACTGTCTGATCCACCTGGGAAAAACAACCCCTGCCCCCCACCTACCCCGCATATAGGAAAATATTTAAAAAAAAATACACTTAATAGGTAATTTTGGAATTTTTATGGGTAATTTTGGCTGAGTTTCACTTTTAATTAATCAACAGACTGTTAAATCAACTCTTCTCCCCACACTTCTTGGATTAAATGCTCCAGGAACTGAATTCTGTCACTTCTGTGACCTCCTATTCCCTAAAACATCAGACCTTCAGGAAATGCAAGAAAAGAGAATGTTGCTTACAATGCAACTCCATCGAAAGCTCCAAATTGTACTCTTTCAAAAAATTCCTCCAGGGATGGGAACCACATCTCCTGTCTCCTACACTGCAGGCAAATTCTTTACTACTGAGCCATCAGGGATGCCTACATGCTTACCCTGCTGTATTAAAAACAGATAACCAACAAGGACTTACAGTATAGCATGTGGAACTCTGCTCAGTGTTACGTGGCAGCCTGGATGGGAGTGGAGTTTGGGGAAAATGAATACACATGTATGTAAGACTAAGTCCATTTGCTCTTCACCTGAAGCTATCACTGTTTATTAATCAGCTAGATCTCAATACAAAAAGTTTTTTTTTTTAATATGTTTTACTTCCAGAATAGCTTATATCACACTAACCTTCGACAAAAAAACTACAATAAACTTTGAACAAGATATTTTTGAAAATACTCTTTAAATACTATTGGAGAATAATCAAAAGTAGGCAGAAACTAAAGGGAATTTAATTCTTTAGAAAAGGGTGAATTAGATCTTTCTTTCTATGTTGTTTGTTTTGTTTTATCTAAGGCTACTTTGTGGTGGGCATTTAGAATCTAATAGAAGGCCACAGTTTTACTGTCTTAAGTTAGAGGATAGAATTTCATTTGGCCGGAATGGCTGGGTATTTTTAAGGGGGAAGAGCCTAGAAATGAAGAAGCTTTAGAGATAGAAGACACCGGGTCTATACATAAACTCTGCTTAAATTATTATATGTCCCCTTAATTATGCTAATGTGGAGGAAGCTCCAAGGAAACTGTGAAAATAGCTAGATAGTTCTAGAAAGAACTAAACATATTTTTGGTGCTTCCTGAAAAGAAAAATTTGGAGATTAATCCAGCTAAGTTAACTGAGTAACAGAGTTAAAATTAATGCTTGCCAGAGGAAATTAGGGAGAAGGCAATGGCAAACCACTCCAGTACTCTTGCCTGGAAAATCCCATGGAAGGAGGAGCCTAGTAGGCTGCGGTCCATGGGTTCGCGAAGAGTCGGACACAACTGAGAGACTTCACTTTCATTTTTCACTTTCATGCATTGGAGAAGGAAATGGCAACCCACTCCAGTATTCTTTCCTGGAGAAATCCCAGGGATGGGGGAGCCTGGTGGGCTGCCGTCTGTGGGGTCGCACAGAGTCGGACATGACTGAATTGACTTAGCAGCAGCAGCAGAGGAAGTTATCAAAACCCAGTAAATAAATAAACCACCCTATTTTCAAAAGCACCCTTCCTACATTCAAAAGCTGTTGCAAAAAAGCAGAAAAAGAAAATCATGACACATAGTCAAGTCAAAAAGCAGTCAATGGAAACTGACCCTAAGATGACTCGGATATCGGAACCAGCAGAAAAGAACTTTTCAGCAGCTTTTGTAAATATGCTTAAGGGCTAAACAAAAAATGCTATCATAATTATTAAACAAATTTATAACTTAAGTGGAGAAGTGGAAACTAGAAAAGAGAACAAAATGAAAATACTATAACTGACAAGTATAAATGCAAAGGATGGCCTTAATAGTGGATAGAAGATGGCAGAAGCAAAGGTTGGTGAAGTTGAAGATAGATCAATAGAAATTATTCAGTCTGAAACAACAGAAACAAAGTCTTGTTGACCTGTGGGACAATATCAAGGGGACAAATAAATTTGCAATTAGAGTTTCAAAACAAAAAGAGAGAAAGAATTTGGCTGAAAAATACTTAAAGAAATAATATTCCCAAATTTCCAATATGTCGGAAAGCATACCAACTTCTGGGCTTAAAAAATTCAGCCAATTCAAGCAGAGTAAGTACAAAGGAAACCATACCTGGGTACATCATTGTCAAATGGCTGAAAAGCAAAGGCAAATAAATCTTGAAAGCATGCAGAGAAGTAGATCACTTCTCATCAGAAATTTTGTGACCCAGAAGACATTGGAATAATATATTTAAGACTCTGGAAGGGGAAAAATTGTCCACTTTAAATCCTTATAGTATAAAATATTCTTCAATAATGAAGGCAAAATAAGGATATTTTTAGCTATACAAAAATTTACATAATTTGTTTTAGGAAGTTCTTTAGACCAAAGGGAAATAATACTAGGTGTAATTTCAGATCTACAGGAAGCAATTAGGTGTACCATAATAAATATAAAAAACACCACATATTTTCTTTTCATAAATTCTTTAGAGATAAAGATTGTTCAGGACTTCCTTGGCAGTCCAGTGGTTAATACTCTGTGCTCCCAATGCCAGAGGGATAGGTTCAATCCCTGGTCAGGGAACTAAGATCCTGCTTGCCACACAGTGTGACCAGAAAAAAGAAAAAGATTTTTTTAAAACAAATAATGTAATATTATTGTGAAATTAGCGATATACATAGATATGAAATATATGGCAGTAGTACAGAGGCTAGAATGTGCTAAGTACAATTGTGTTGTTCCAAGTTCCTTATGTTTTGCATGAAATAGTACATTAGCTCTAAACTCTGATAGGAAATGGTTGAATATTGCAACACTTAATATAAAAAGAAATAGTGCCCAAATGTGTAAGTAAGGAAGACATAGAATGTTTCAATAGTTCCATTTCTTTCAAAGAAGTTAAATAGATTATTAATAAATTTTCCTACAAAGACAATTTTATGTCCAGATAAAACTGGTGAATTCTATCAAAAGTGCCAATCTTACACAAATTCTCTCAGAAAATTAGGGAGAAATGAACCTTTCCCAACTTGTTTTAGTGAAGTTAGCTCAAGTCTGGTACCAAAAGCTGGCAAAGATATTACAGAAAAGAAATTTATAAATTAATATTCCTCAATTAAATGTTAATATATTGATGCTAACACATAATGATAAAGTAGGATGCATTGCAGGAAATCAAGGTAGGGTCAACAATCAAAGATCAATCAATATGATTCACCACATGAACAAAATAAAAAACATGGAGCATCTGATCATCTCAATTGATGTGGAAAAAGCATATGACAAAATTCAACATCCATTTACAACTAAAATCTCAGTAGACACCTCAACCTGATAAGGGGTACTTAACGAAAAGTCTATGGTTAAGAACATGCTTGGTGGTGAACTAGTTAACAGTTTTCTCCTAAGATAAGGACAAAGCAGGAATACCTATTTTTCCTACTTTTATTCAGCAGTATACTGGAGGTTCTAACCAGTGCATAAAGCAAGAGAAACAAATAAAACTCATCAGTTTGGAAAGAAAGAAAATGAAATTTTGTTAATTTTCAGACATGTTTGTTTACATGGAAAACTATAAGGATATTCCAACACAATTACAGGAAGGAATATAGTGATTTCATTAAGGTCAGTTTACAAAAGTCAATCTTATTTCTATAGACTAGTGTCCAAAAATTGGAAAATAATTTTAAAAAATAACAGCTCCACTTATGGTAGCAATAAAACATAA